ATCCTACTTTTTAATTTTTATCTTTTTAATCATTCAGTTATCTTCCTGAGTTGTAAAATCTGCGTAAGCGTAAACTGCCAGTGCGTATTTCTCAGATTCGAAGAATAGCCGTGCTTCACACTATACACAACAGACTGTTTGTTATCTTACTGGAAGATCCTGGATGGAGAGGAAATATCACGCTGTAAATAAACCATAGAATTCTGTACACTGTGGAAACATTTTGTCCAAAGTAAAGCTATTAGCATCATTATCCTTTTTAATAATAATAATGATAATGGTAAAGCTTTATTTAAGACAGTATGCTAGTATACGGTACAAAAATTTTCAGCGTATTCAGTTCCAAAGTACTTTTTCTTCTCACAGGATTGACATGTAAAGTAATAATCTGAAGTATATCTTCATTTCGTTGAAGAATTGTACAGCGTTTACTTGGGAACAAGTTAAATCATCGCGCAAGTTTGTGTATAGATCATTTGATATAACTGGACGATTAAAACAATGATAAATCCAGATGAAATTAAGCATTTTAGAGGAAAGTAATTTCGGTAGCCCAATGATTTAAGCAGGCCGCCTCATCCTTGGGCTTTCCTAATTTTTTACATTGGGATATTTTTTTTTTATCTGCGATGTCACGTCGTTTTGACAATCATTTCAATGAAACATTTTTCAGTGGTGACTTAGTATGATAGTATCATTTGCAAATATAAATGCTTAGGCAACGGTAGAAGACCAGAGACTGGATAAGGGAGTGTAATTTTGTATCCTTATATAGGGTAATTATATACACCTCAACTTCAAATAATCATTTGCACAGATCTTCCGTAATCTTCTTCACTTGGCATCAACAACAAAATTCGGTCGGATTTTGAATACAGACATTAAGTCAGTCAATTCTTCTATACGGATCAGAAACTTGGCGGGCTGGTCACAGAAAATATTTCTAACAGCCTGTTGCAGACTGTCTTCGCTGGCTCTATACTGAAGATTAGATGGCCGGGCCGGACAGAATCACCAACCAGAAGAAATTATGGGAACAACAAATATGCAGGAGAAAGTGGAGATGGATTGGACACTCACTCGCTGAGGAGGCCGCTGGGTGACATCGCGCGCGCGTTAGGCCACTGCTCGAGTGGAACCAGGCCGAAAGGAAAGCGGTGAGTGTGTCGTCGGTGTAAGGGTGACATATGAAGGAGATCGTGTGAGGAGGAGGTGAAACAGTATGGACTAACATGGATGCATGTGAAACGTACAGCAGAAGGAAGACAGAAGTGGCAAGTGGAGATGTGCACTTGAAGCCCTCCCTATGTTCCACTAGGAACCCAAGTGAACAATAATAAATAATAATATAATGCATATCTTCCGTGTTGTGCTACTTCTGTTCTTTATATTGTGTTTCTTTTGTGTCCCTTTCACGTCTCCCATGTTTCTTTACAACGCTGAATCATTTGCTTTCTCTGATGTCAAATTTATCTCCCTGTTATTTTATGTTTTAATGCTGACGAACTTCTCTTTATATACTACTGATAAAACTTACCAGTAGCATATTCCCCACAAAAGCATTTCGAACTTTTATCGACATCTCCCCTTATGCTCATTCATGATGATCAGGTGTCCAATTAGAAAAGATAGGAAACATGGGACTAGAGTAGCGAACCAATCACGAACCTGTTTCTGAACACTTGTATGAAGGGTTAACGGAAGTGAACTGGACATACACTTAGAACACAGTGACAGGACATCACACACTATGCCAATGAATGGAAGCTGGTTGGAACAAGATGGCTCTTCCTGTAAGATCATGTGTGAAGGGGGTATGAACTAGCTAAAAAATGATAGGAGAGAAACAAAATGTGTTGCTAAAGTCCTTTATTCTACTTAGATTCTAATCCTGTTATCCTTGTAGAAATGGGGACCACACGCGCGAGTAAGATTTAGATCTTTTCACCGCCATTTCAACTAACAATCAGGTTTCTGACACGATATTCTGTTAACTGAGTAACTAAGCAGTTTATGACTAGCCATCGATTGAAATCCAATAGTTGACATTCTACCTGAAAGCGATTAATCTTAATGCTTCCCAAAAGCGATTGCCCTTGTTGGTATCAAAAAAAGTTTAACAGGGAAGTTGATTCATTGTGATGACGAATTGTTTATGAACACATAGAGGTGGTTTAAACTTCCTAGCTAGGGCTTCCACAAACTTTACGATACGCTCCAAACACGTTTTATAGATAGGTTTAAAAAAATGTGTTAACGTCAATTTTATGTCCTGTCTGTATAATATGTTTCGAAATAGAGGAGCTAGGTCTCCTGTTCTCAACGTGAATGGGTTCTAATGATTCTATTTGTTTCCGAAGCCATTTAGGAATATGCTATGAAGCTAGCCTTTACTTGCAGAGATCAGTGAGTCCTTTCTCCTGTGTATGTATGTGTGTCCACACGTACATTCAAATAGGTAAATACGTCTTCTTATTGCTTTGTCTAAACCCATAAAGGGGACAATTTGTTTTAAATATGTATATTTGCCTCTTAAGTAATAGACAACATGTATTATTGAAAAAGGAGTAAGGTGAATGGGAATCAGTCAAGACTTGCTACTAAAAGAATCCATACTACTTACATGTATCTATCTACCAACCAGGCATTCAGAAGTATATTGATCGTGACTTTGAGAAACTGATAGTCGAGATGGTTTTATCCTTCTGTGTGCATATTTATTATTCAGGTTGATGATATGAGAAATTTGGTTGAGCTATTCAAGTGCATTGGAGTAATGATGTCTGAAGCTGCCCCCTCCTTACTTTAGATTTATATTTTCAACATTCATATCAAGGTGGTCAATGCTGCTTGTGTATGGTTCAGGGACTTGACATGTCACCAAAAACAAAAAAACATTTCTAGTAGGTGACGGAAGATTTTTATCTCAACAGTTACCTTAGCTTCAATGTTGAACATCATATGGCTGGTCGAAAAAGGGATAAGCAACACATAGGGAGCTCTGGCGGCAGCAGTGTAGCCAGTCAGCGCCAAGAATCTTCTGTCCAAGAGAAATGTGGGAGAAAATCGAGAGGGATTAAGTACACACTAGGAAAACCATTGCGTGATATCACGCGCCAATCTCTAGAGTGGAAGTTTAACGAGAAAAACAACGAGTTGTTGAGCTTGGATCTGAGAGTGATGTGATGCCTAAATTCCAGAGTTATTTTATTTTAAAAATCAAAACTCTGTACCACCACAAATGTGCAGTATATCTCACTAAACAGCAATACTACTATCATTCCGAATCAATCAATCAATCAATCAATAATGGTCTCAAACCTTAAGGTAACGGATTGTCTTATTGATAATCTAAACCAACCTTAAGATAGTGATACGTTTTCCACTTAACTAATGGTAAATAAAAATATCAGGAATATACCGAAAGAGCATTAACTACACTGAAAACTGAAATCATTCCTTAGACCAACCGAGTTTCAATGCTTTCATAGTGACTTGATCATATAGATTTTGATTTAACCTGATGTTAAATACATGCGTTATTTAGTGAGATAATCCCGAAATTACTAGTTATATTATTTTTGATTTGAAAAAATAAGATCGATAAAATATGTGGACACCAAGAGATTTATTACATCATATAACAGATGATTATGATTTAAACTCTAAACCAGACTGCAGTAGATTCATCGTCTAGAACTGCATTCCAAAGGTAGCTGGTAACCGAAATCAGCTGGAAATTGAATTCGATTGCTTCAAGTCATTCATCCCACTTATATCATGGGTTTACATTCATGGGATTTCAATTCATCTAAAGTGAATGCATCACATCTACTAGTCTACTAATCAATGCGGAATATTTACACTCTCTGTTTCATTTCTGTTTAACACCTTGAGCTGCAATCTGCAGATGTTTGGCATGCGATTCGGTCCCACCTAATGTAAGATGATGTTACAGGACTGGACTATTATAATGACTCCTAGCGGAGAAACAGGGAGTGAAGTGGTAGAGCATGTTGACCGCTTCACTTATTTCGGAAGTACCATCAGCTGGTACCAACAGATTGATCGCTGACGAAATCTCAGCATGGATGCAGAAGGCTAGTTTTTCATATGCCAGTTTACTCCGTCTCTAGCGTAGACGTGATATCTAGCTAGCTATCGACCAAAGGGCATGTGTACAGCTCAGTAGTCCTCTCCGTCCTATTTTATGGCTGTCCTCGGTCAAAGGTGTCTGCGTTCTATCTTCCGTGTGAACTGGTAGGTGTAGTAGGGTGAGCAATATTGAGGTTAGGCGTCGAGTGCTAGGTGAAGAGGGGAAATCAATTGACGAGGCTGTGAAGCTACATCGATTAGGATATGTGTTACGTATGCATCCCTAGCCATCGCCTTCCTCAACGGACAATGTTAGCTGACATAGGGTCAGGCTGGAAAAGAGCTAGCGGCGGTCGGACCAAAACATGGCCTCAGCAGTCAATGAAATCGACAACAGTTAGTTTAAGCCAGCCTGCCTGCCTGCCACGTAGGAAGTTGTAGACTTCCTGAATGGTTGGGGTCCTCGGGATGGTAAACACTAATGAAGGTTGGAGACAATTAGTGATATGGTTCACAATCCTCGTTCTTAGTTATGGCTGGCGCAGATGCATCCACTCCTGTGACTTATGATTTCCAATGAAACTATTTTGTTCTTCGTTATTACTATTTCTGTCTACTGTCTCTATTATGCATTTCATTTTACTTTGTTCTCTTGCTTTGTGTGATACATGAGGGAGTGTGGCTACTTGAACTTCTGCACATCGATGTAAAGTTCTATGTTGAAACCATTCATTCATTCAGTCATTTCATTTCTGCATAAAACCATGAACTTATGTCTACATAAGAACAGTTTAAGGAAAGGAAAGTCTCATCGATCTTATTGATACCAGCTTATTTATAATAATAATAAAAATAATAATAAAAGTCGATGAAACGCATACATTGCTGTAAAAACTCAGACTTACCAAGTTTCATTTTGTAATGGACAATTTAAACCAATCTCTTCAAGCATTGGAAGCATATTCTGATGATAAAGCATATACGAAATACTAAAAAGTATCCAGTGTTATGATGTAACAGTTTACAGTTAAATATTTCAAAATGTGCTTTGCATATATATATATATATATCTTTGAAAATGTGAACACGAATGTCTGAATATTATTTAGAATTGATTTCGATCAAAGTGGTTTTTACGCATACACATTGAGAGAGGGAGAGAGAGCGCGAGGGAAATGCAAATTAAACAAGAGGCCCTCGCAAATTGAAAATTGATTTGTAACAACAATTTTGACCATTTTTGATGATTGTTATGATAACGTGGTTGTAATCTGCTTCTAATCTAGCGACGGAATACCAAATGATTTCATAAAACCCTTATTTATTACTGTTATTATAATATGAGCATATATATACATATATACAACTTATATGTGGGTGCCTTAATACCACCAATTCTTCTGCTTTTTTCATGCATTTTAAATCACCTGATATATATATAACCACCACCACCACCAATTCAATGAATTATTTTGTTGATTGTTGTCAAGTCACAATGTCTATTGGATTCATTCATTCATTCATTCATTGTTGGAGTATACGGGTGGGTAGTAATCTATCATAATCTCTCTCTATTGGTTTACATTTCTGTCAACCAATAGAAATGGAGTATACATTTATGCATATATATTTGCGTAGATATATTTCTTAACATTATATAGGGACACATTTCATGCCGTAGACCTAAGCACGTAAACACGCACAACATAACATAAGGCGTATATTACTTCATATATATATATGAGTCATACCCCATAATATTTTATGATTGACTGTCTAACTGACTGACTGGGAGAGAAATAATAAAAAGAACACCACTGCCCCATTGGTGGTAGACTAAAAGCTGCTCACCTGAAGAGTGTGAGTAATAATAATAACAACAACAATAATAGGAACATAGGAGAACAAGTAATCGTAACAATGACTGGTATAGTACTATTATTATTATTACTATTATTGTCCTTATAATTAAACAGTACTGTTTTTCTATTAGACTTAATAGTAGGAGTAACAATAAAACAGTCCAAAAAGGTGGAGTTTTGACTTCGTGAAATAAAAAAAAAATAGTTTTAGGTGGAAAACACGCCCAAAAGAAAAATAATACTGGATTAATCTATGTGTGTGTGTGAGGTGTATCTGTGTGTGTGAGTGTGTGTTGTGCATAGACGACAGGCAACTATCATATACACCATACTGTTTTTGCACATTTCAATAATATAAATTTGATAGAATATTAAAGGGGAAAAATGAAGAGGAAGAAAAAATCAATTAATTCTTTTTTAAAAAAAATACACCGATGGCTATTAAAACTCCCACCAGCAAAAATAAGGATAGTTTTTGTTTGATGTCACCCACTTAGACTATTTGAGCAGGGAAAGAAAGAGAGACGGAGGGAGAGAGAGAGTTTAGGCGGAACCGTTTTATTTTGATGACACACTATCTGTTTACAATAAATGCTGTTTACATTGTTCTTGTTTTTGACATTGGTACATGGGAGATATATATATAAAAAGGGAAAATAAAACTGTAAGTATATTGCTGACAAACTAGTCCATAGTCGTGTTTAAGACAATACATACTGATCAGTTTAAATAAGAAAGATTACTTATAAATTATGAATCATAAAATAGTAATGAGCAGAGGGTCATATGTTGACTTTTAGTTGGTTATTTACGCGAACGGATGGTAACCTGTAGAACCGTTTTGATCAATCACACAATGTGTTTGTTATACAGTAATATTAACTAATGACAACCACGTTTCGAGCACAAACTATCGCTGCCACTCATAATCATATCAAGGTACTCACACAATTTGTTACTTCAATTATATACGTGAGTGGAATTGGTGATTAGATATTGGAATAAAAATCAACCAATATAGAATAATGTATATTCAGAAATAATAATATGAGTGTTACTCATCAAATACAATCAGATGGGAAATAAGACGAGTGTTTTTATAGTCAAAATAAATAAGTAACTTGTTAGAATGTTGTGATGTACGTGAATTGAATTGAAATATAATTTTGAGATTATTTATTATCCTCCTCTGATTTGACTGACTGACTGATTGGTGGTAATAATATCATCCATGCATATCTCTGGTATTTGAATTGAGTCATTTCTGTTGCATGTGTTGTGTTGGGTGTAGACTCAATGAACCAGGCAGGATTCAGTAATCAATCTCTCTCTCTCCACCTAAATTCTTATGTTCTGACAATCTGACTACCCTCGATCTATTAGTTTGACCTGTGTAGTTGACTTAACTCACAGTCATTGGAAGGTATTTTGTAAATTATATTATTTTGTATAGTTTGGTTTGCAAGGGTTAGTTATGTTTCTACGAGTTGACCATGGATTGATATCAGTTAGAGAACCATTGAAAACCAGTTGGGAGTACTGGACAGCTGTTTCCTCTTGGTTTGGGAATCATCGGCATTACGCACCCACCGGGATTAGAACCCAGAACATTCCGATTACAAGGGAAGCTCGTAGACCACTGAGTCACTGGGACCCCATTCAACGATCATTCCATGAATTCTAACTTCTACCAATTCGTGATTTAGCGCGACCTCAACCAAGCTATAGAAAATTAATCTGATGCCCGCTAGTGACTTGCTACAGGATGGAGTTTCCTGGAGTTGTAGTGAGAAGTGGTGACCAGTGAGGTCCAATTAGATGTCACAATTATGGATGGATATCCCACCAACGACAATGGTTGAGGTCGCGCTAAATCACGAATTGGTAGAAGTTAGAATTCATGAGCTAACCACTGAATCGAATCCCAGTGGCTGAATGGTATACGAGCTTACGTTGTAATCGGAAGGTCCTGGGTTCAAATCCCAATGGGTGCGTACTGCCGATGATCCCCAAACTAGGATGAAATAGCTGTCCAGTACTCCCAGCTGGTTTTCAATGGTTCTCTAATTGATATGAATCCGTGATCAACTCGTAAAAACATATTATTTTGTCTAACTGGGTCAACCGACAGGGTACTTTAGCTTACACAGCTTGTCTTTGAGTGAGTTTGTAGGTTTGAATGCCACCCAAATTCCTGCTTTGTTAAAAATCCTACTACGTATGGCCTCAGATGTCCTCTCCTAACTAGAAATGTAGATGTTTTATATTCTTTTTTATTTATGTTATCATTATTAGTTTCCCCATTATTTTTATTTTACTATTGACCTTTTTTGATACTCCTAATGAATCAGTCCACATTAAATTCTGCATAAAACTGAAAGTTTGAAGTGTGTTCTAAGTTAGGGATAAGACGAAGACAAACATTTATTATGAGAAGCTTGGTGATCCTCCCTTAACACTGAAGCATTATGTCAAACACTTTAATAGTTAGAAAGGTTTTATGCTATGACGATTTCTTTTTGGTTCTTATTCCCTTCATTCTGACTGGAACAGAGAAATTTAAGCCTGAAGAGTTGAAGTTTCTGTCAAGATGGCGTGTTATTTTCATAAGGTGAGGTTATCAGACTCTTTTTTGTTCAGTCTTTCTTCTTTTCACACTTATAGAAGTGAGTTGGCTGGCAACTGAACCTGAACCACACAAATGGTCCAGGGTGAACATTCTACCACTGTGCCACCGACAGAGATATTTTAAGGCAATAATATTTAAAAACTTGAGGAATAAAATAATATTTCAAAAGTTTGCGTATAAATCTTTACGATTAGTGTGAGAAATGTGTGAAAGTTGATTAATTTAAAACTTTTAGTCAATAAATATAACCACCTTGGGAGTGTTTAACTATACAAACCGAATGGCTGACCACTAACTGAACAACACGTACATGTGTAATGCAGATAAAGTTGTTAAATTTATAAGCTGTTGTGACATCAGACTTATAAGATTTTTTGGTTACAGGATTTCATCATGAGCTGACATCCGTTGGAGAACCATTGGAAAACCTGGAAGTACTGGACATCTGTTTTCTACTTCCAAGTTTGGGACTCTTCATCACTACGCACCCACCGCCAGCGTTCGAACCCAGCACCTTCTGGTTACCAGGCGAGCAATCTCGTAGACCGTTAAGCCAATGGGACCTTCACTACAAAGCGCGACCGCCAGCCGATGTTATCCATGGCTAGTATTTGTCCTCATACACCCCGACCTGTTGCATCCTACTGGTCCCACTAGAACCGCAGGTAACTACCTACCTGAGTAGAGCCAGTCGCTAGTGAGTATCTCATTGACTTTCAAGTATTGGTATGTAAGGATTTGGTTGATTGGCTGCAGGGTTTCATCGTGAGCTGACATCGGTTAGAGAAGCATTGGAAATTTATTATATTATTTATTTGAACACAGAAAATAAACCTGGTACAATATGGCACCAAGAAAGATGCGCCACACAATAATAATAAAACAACATAGATCAAAAGTAAAAAAATACAAGTAGAGAACGGATAAAGAACTTCATCTGGAAGCAAAACAGTCATGTTTAACAAGTTCAGATAGTATTCTTTACTATCATCACGAAGAGAAGAAAGAAGGAACTTGCAACACGTTCGCCATTTATTACGATTCTTGGCCATGTCCGATACCGTTTTGAGCCATCGATTCGAGCTATCTCGTGGACTCCAACCAGGGAGTTGTGACGCACCAGCCGATGCTAATCTTGCACAAAAATCCTTCATCCCACTATGCTACGTCCGCCTTTTCCATCCCGCCCCAAGGCTAGCGAACAGAGACCTGTACGGAAGCCTCTGGGATGACATTCACAGCACATGTCCAAGCCACCGTAGCCGGTGTTTCCAGATGACGACACTCAATGAATGGTGATCTCCGCTGTGTTAAAACACACGCCACTGAACCTCAGATTTACTCACGCGATGATTCTATCGAACACAAGCAACCCTGAGGAGACAGCAATGATGGAGCACGCAGAGTCGTCGCACATCCTCTGCTCGGAGAGGCCAGGCCAAGCAGTTGAAAACAAGCTGGGAGTACTGTACAGCTGTTTCGTTTGTTTGTTTGTTCCTAAGATGCACATCCATGTTATGTTGAGATGTACTTTTCTTCATTGCTTCATATTCCAAAGGGAACACAGGGCTACAGGCCTAATGCTTTGAAATTCCACTTTTGTGATGGTTTTTCCTAGACTCACTCCCTATCTTCCCTCACTAATGTGCTAACTACTAACCAGTAAACTGGGGGACATTTACGCATGCATTGTTCGGGATTCGAATTTGAATCATGTAGGTGGTTGGCAGGGTTATTTTCAAATAATTCTATCATTACACAAACAGGAAAACTGAACAGAATCTATTTATTATGTATCATATCTAAAATGAATTTATTGAACCAGATAACTGACTAACACACTGCGATTGTTTTGGAGGTAGGTCTTCCATTTTTTCTATCTCTCTGTTTGTCTGTGTGCCAATAGCAGCTAAAAGGCATGTTTCAGTGTATACACAATAAGCAGTCAAACTCTGTTGGTTTTAATTTTTGTTATCTAACGCAAAACTGATAGATAATTAGT